GTACACAGACACACCTGTGCAGGTCAGACTGCCGCCACAAATGACCTGATCCAGTCTAGATGAACTTATAGATGAACCATAGCTGTACAGTGTTACTGACGTGTTACTTCTGACGTCACCTGTGTGCAGGTAAGCGCTGTGAGCTCTGTGACGACGGTTTCTTCGGGGACCCTCTGGGTCAGAACGGTCCGATCCGAGCCTGCCGAGCCTGCAAGTGCAGTGACAACATCGACCCCAACGCCGTCGGCAACTGCAACCGAGAGACTGGAGAGTGTCTGAAGTGCATCTACAACACCGACGGCTTCTTCTGCGACCGCTGCAAGGAGGGTTTCTATGGCAACGCCCTGGCTACCAACCCCGCGGACAAGTGCAAACGTAAGAGGAAGTACTGAATTCCAGATCCTTGGTCTGTGCCATGTTGATGACTGAGCAGTGAAAACCCAGAAACTGTCCCTGAGGTTCTGACTGTGGGTCTGACTGGTCCACCTCTCTGTCCTCCTCAGCCTGCTCCTGTTCTCCTCTCGGTACCGTGGACCGTCAGACCAGCTGCTCCCAGGTCACGGGTCAGTGTCAGTGTCTCCCCAACGTCGCTGAGCGTGACTGCAGCGCCTGCCAGCCCGGCTTCTTCAACCTGCAGAGCGGCAACGGCTGCGAACGGTCAGATCACCTTTGCTTTAACCTTTCAGCCATTTGAGCAAATCTGACAGAAAAATAATAACAAACCTGAGCAGAAACAATAATAACTTTATTTACAACACATTTTTCTTAACAAAGTGTCATCTGCATAGAAATGAAAAGACGCACCGTGATTGTGAAGAATAGGTGCAGCAGCTAAACTGGGAAATGTTGAGTCCACTATTATTTCGCAGCAAAACCGGACTCATGTGTTCGTTTGATGAAGTATGCAGGACACAGACTTAAAGTTCAACACGTCTAATTTATTACAAGTATAGCCAAGCATAGAAGTCTGAGATTGCTTACAGAGCTCTGGACTCACACTGCTCTCCTCTCGCCTGTCTAAGCAGAGTGCAGCCCTCCCTTCTTTCAGTCACTCACTCTTATACACATTCTCATCACTCCCCCTCTTCTCGCACAGCCCGACCGAACCCAGCATCTTAGCTGCACATCCTGCTATCTAAGCATGTTATCATCGTACTTTCTCGTCCTCTCTGTCCTTGTACGTCATTCTGCAATCTCAAACGGCAGACAATGTCACAATGTTCACATAGTTCATATAGTTTAAGGCTGATTCACCCTTTTAATCATACAATGCATACAGTAGCAGAAATAACATATCCCTTCAGAAGCGAAGGGGAACAAGAACAGAACCTAGAGGAACGCCTCATCTAAACTTCCGTTATCCTGGTCGACAGGAAAAGTTCTGTCAAAACTGAACGAAACTTTATTGAGACACGTTCTTTAGATTATAATGTTTATCATTCCTGATTTAATGATCCTACTTTAACGCGTCCAGCCTCCACAGGCTCCTGTGGTCAGTATTCGCCCTCGGTCCAGATTTGTCTGCACGCAGGGTTAAGTTTTAAATTTCCCTCACGCCATCTCTTTTGGTGTTCCCAACAGGTGCAACTGTAATCCCATTGGCTCTACCAACGGTCAGTGTGACATCACTTCAGGACAGTGCGAGTGTCAGCCCGGCGTCACCGGCCTGCACTGCGAACGCTGCGAGGTCAACTTCTTCGGCTTCAGCTCGTCCGGCTGCAAACGTAAGGACGATGACATCACTGATTTACGACACTGTGCTAGTTTATTGGGTGACCACAGGGGTTACCATGGAAACAGCCAGTGCGGTGTAGATTCAGGAAGTTGTAATGCCTGTAAATCAGAGCGATGTTTTGTGTGTGACCTGCAGCCTGCGACTGTGACCCCGAGGGCTCTCAGTCGGGTCAGTGTAAGGAGGACGGCCGCTGCGAGTGTCGGCCCGGCTTCGTCGGAGCTCGATGTGACATGTGTGAGGAAAATTACTTCTACAACCGCTCGGTGCCGGGCTGCCAGCAGTGCCCCTCCTGCTACAGTCTGGTCAGAGACAAGGTGAGGACAGCTGAGTGCCTACACGCCACTGAACGCATCGAGAACGAGCCTGAAAGCTGGATACGTGGGTCATCACAGAGCGTGAGTTAATGTTTGTGTGTCTCCAGGTGAACCAGCAGAGGCAGAAGCTTCACGACCTGCAGACCTTGATCGATAACCTGGGCTCAGGTCAGGAGACCGTCAGCGATAAGGCCTTCGAGGACCGACTGAAGGAGGCGGAGCGAGCCATCATGGAGCTGCTGGAGGAGGCTCAGACCAGCAAAGGTAACACGACCTCGACAGCGTCACTCTTACTGCTCCTCCTCCTCCGCTATGATGTCATTTAAATGCACAACATCAGTGAGGAGTTTCAGGTCTTTCAACACCAGACGCCCTCACCCAGGTGACCCAGCCGGCTGGGTCACCTGATCCACAGCCACCTTGAAGCAACTTCTGTTGCCTCGGTGACCAACTTGTTACCCCTTTGTCCAGTGTCCAAAACCTCAAGTTACAGCTCAGGACAGAGAGGAGGGTTTCTGTGGGCCCACACCCTGCTGAAAGTTTTGGAACTACAGTTCCCATAATACTTTAGTGGTTGTAGAAACATGCTGAATTGGTTATTAGCAGCTCTTGTTTGCAGAGTACCTGCTGATGTTCAGACGACTGTCACTGTGTCACTGAAGGAAACTTAAAAACACGAGGATCTGAAGATCTGCAGCGTCTTTTTTCTTTGGTTTTAAAGCAGATTTCTGGAGCTTTATTCTGGAGGGATATCAGAGATAATGACATTGTCAGGAAGTGGAAGTCACGCTGAATCTAAAAATATGCGTTTCATTACTGTGTGTTCAGATTTGACTGAGTTATGACTCAGAGATGAAGGAGTGCGATTTGGATTTTTAGTTATTTTCTGTAAACTTCATGTTCTGGGCGTGTTTGTTTTCTAAAGCTTCAGTCTCTGCTGGAGTGTTTATGATTTGACCTTTGACCCCCGCAGACGTAGACAAAGGCCTGCTGGATCGCCTGAACACCATCAACAACACTCTGACCACTCAGTGGAACCGACTGCAGAGCATCCGCAACACGGTGGACGACACCGGCAGTCAGGCCGACCGCGCCCGCACCCGAGTCCGTGACGCCGAGAACCTGATCAACCAAGCCCGGCTGGAGCTGGACAAGGCCAAGGACGCCGTCAGCAAAGTGGTGAGTGAGGTTGCTGTCGTCACGGCAACTGTTAGACTCATTAACAGAGTCTGACTTGATGTTGATGTCGTCTGCAGGACATCAAACCCCCCGGCGGCACCGGAGAGCCCAACAACATGACGCTGCTGGCTGAGGAGGCTCGAAGACTGGCTGAGAAGTAAGACCACAACACACACACACACACAGAGAAACACGTTTAAACTTCTGGTAATGGAACCTCCCTCTAACACACCGCTGTCGTTTGTCTTGTGCAGGCACAAGATGGACGCCGATCAGATTGAGAAGATCGCCAAGGACGCCAACGACACGTCGACCAAAGCGTACAACCTGCTGATGAAGACTCTGGACGGAGAGAGCAGGACGAGCCAGGAGATCGACGAGCTCAACAGGAAGTGCGTCACAGCTCCGCCTCCTCCTCTGTTCCTCAGTTACACACATTGATTCACATATAATCAATTAACACGACAGTTATTTTCTCAAATGATAGATTCATTATTTTGTTGTTTTTGTATTTTGCTAAGCTAAGTTAGCTGCTTCCCCTTGTTCCCAGTCTTTATGCTAAGCTCAGTTAGCTGTTCTGCCTTTTCCGCTCTTTATGCTAAGTTAGCTAAATGATCGCTTCATTATTTTGTCAGTGAAATGACAAAAAATAACCGTAATAATTTGCCGGAGCCCAAAGATGTTCACTTGACTGTCATGTGACGGAGTCCTGCTCTGTCCTGCTCAGGTACAACGAAGCCAAGGAGCTGGCTAAGAACCTGGAGAAACAGGCCAACAAGGTCCAGGCCGAGGCCGAAGACGCCGGGAACAAAGCTCTGAAGATCTTCGCCAACCTGACCAGCCTCCCGCCGTTCAACACCAAGGCTCTGGAGGTGACAGACCACATTCAGACCGGACATCTCTGCCGACGGTAAACGTCTCGGTGTGGAGTGTTGACCGCTGTTTCTGTTTTCAGGACGAAGCCACAAAGATCAAGAAGGAGGCGTCGGACCTGGACAAGCTGATCGACAAGACGGAGAAGGAGTACAATGACCTCAGAGAGGACCTGAAGCCCAAAGAGCTGGAAGTCCGCAAACTGCTGGAGAAAGGCAAAAGTGAGCAGCAGGTATGTTAAGGAGCCGCTCACCTGTCTGAACACGGAGAAGATGGCTTGGTTGTTATGGTTACACAGGTTACACATGGTTCATTTAGGTTATATTTGGAAAGAGCCAGGCTAGCTGTTTCTCCTTCTTTCCAAGTCTTTATGCTAAGCTAAGTTAGCTGTTTCCCCTTGTTTCCAGTAATAATGCTAAGCTAAGTTAGCTGTTTCCCTTTGTTTCCAGTCATAATGCTAAGCGAAGCTAGCTGTTTACCCTTGTTTCAAGTCATTATGCTAAGCTAAGTTAGCTGTTTTTCCTTGTTCCCGGTCTTTATGCTAAGCTAAATTAGCTGTTTGATGATGCTAGCGTCTGCTTCCTGTTTCTTTTGGACAGACTGCTGATCAGCTGTTAGCTCGCGCAGATGCCGCCAAAGCTCTGGCAGAGGAAGCGGCGAAGAAGGGTCAGTCGACCTTCAGGGAGGCCGAGGGCATCCTGAACGACCTCAGAGGTACATGACTGTCCACCTGTCGATCTCTCTACCTGTCCACCTGTCAACCTGACTGATGTATATTAAAGTTGGTTTAAAATATAACTGTGTCTTAGTTAAAGGGTTTTTAAGAGACAAAAACAAAATACCATTTCAGGTATCTTTAATTAATTCAAAATAATTTGTAACTTAAAACCACCTTAATCTTTCATTTCATACTTAAATATTTGTAGCTAATTATTGTAATTATTGCATAAAGAAATAGATTTTTAATGGATCGTCTCAACAAATTAAGGGATTTTTTAAGGGCTGAAGTGAAAACTCCTCCCATTCTTCTTCTCCTGCAGACTTTGACAAGAGGGTCAACGACAACAAAACTGCCGCTGAAGAGGCCATGAAGAAGATCCCCGCCATCAACGCCACCATCATGGCCGCCAACGAGAAGACCAGGCAGGCGGAGGCGGCGCTCGGAAACGCAGCCGCAGACGCCCGTGAGGCCAAGAACAAGGCGGAGGAGGCGGAGAGGATCGCCAGCAATGTGCAGAAGGTAAACCAACAGTGGCCGGCTCTCTGCGGTTACCTGGAAACTGTTGCCTAGGTTACTGGTTTCATTTCCAGCACTGATATCATCCCGTGTGCTCAGGGCTCAGCCAAGACCAAGGAGGACGCGGAGAAGGCGTTCCAGGACACCAACAAGCTGGACAACGAGGTCAACGACATGATGGACCAGCTGAGCACTGCCGAGCAGGAGCTGGCCAGGAAGAAGGCGGAGGCTGACCAGGACATGATGATGGCGGGAATGGTACGACCCGGTCCGGACACCACTGTGAGCTTTTAATAATGAAGTTAATGAATCAGCTGACACTGTTTACTGTCACTGACCTGCAGGCGTCCAACAATGCCAAGGAGGCGGAGGACAACGCCCGCAAAGCCAAGAGCGCCGTGAAGACGGTCCTGAGCACCATCACCGCCCTGCTGGATCAGCTGGGTAAGACCACGGTCTGAGACTCATGATGATCCGGTTCACAGAGAGATCCGGGTCACTGGTATCAGACTGAGGGAACAATTAATCAATAACCTTCTTGGCTCCGTCTGATTGGTTTAGATTGATTAAGGTGATGTCAGGTCTGAAGTTTTCCCTTCTTTGACTCCAATTGTTTACACTTTTTATGCTAAGCTAAGTTAGCTGCTTCTCCTTGTTCCCGGTCTTTAAGCTAAGCTAAGTTAGCTGCTTCTCCTTGTTCCCAGTCTTTATGCTAAGCTAAGTTAGCTGCTTCTCCTTGTTCCCAGTCTTTATGCTAAGCTAAGTTAGCTGCTTCTCTTTGTTCCCGGTCTTTATGCTAAGCTAAGTTAGCTGCTTCTCCTTGTTCCCGGTCTTTAAGCTAAGCTAAGTTAGCTGTTCCCCCTTGTTCTCGATCTTTATGCTAAGCTAAGTTAATAAAGTCTTGCCTCCTTTGTCTCCTACGCAGGAAACATTGACAAGGTGGACCTGAGCAAACTGAACCAGATCGACGAGTCACTGAAGCGGGCCAAGGGCAAGATGGCCGACAGTGATCTGGACAGGAAGCTGGCGGAGCTGAACAACGTAGCGCAGACCCAGGAGGAGATGATCAACGACTACGACCGGCAGATCCGCGAGATCCGCGCTGACATCAACAACCTCAACGACATCAAGAACACGTTACCTGACGGCTGCTTCAACACGCCGTCCCTGGAGAGGCCTTAACCCCGCCCTCCTCCTCCTCCTCCTCCTCCACCGCCCCGCCTCCAACACTCCCCCCTTCACATCTAACACTCCGGCGAACATGCCGACTTTTACCAAAACAGTTTTTTAAACCTTTTGTTTTCAGATTCTTGTCTTTGATTTTCAAAACCACGTTCACGGTTTTTTAACGAAAGAGAAGCAGCTGTTTTTTGTTTTTTTTTGTTTTTGTTTTTTCAAGACGCAGTAACGTGGTTACGGTAGAATGAACTAAGCGGCGTAGAGAAGCCGTGCAGAGAGGTGGAGGACCTCGGAGAAAAACCAGAACCACAATCCCGACGTGACTGCACCCGTCTGAAGTTTCACCGACGCAGAAAAAACCACAGAAGAAGTTCCTCCCGCCTCGAGGAACGTCCGCTCGCGTTTTCGTCTTTCACCCGTCACTCCATCAGTTCTCAGCCAGCTGAATGTACGGCGACACTGTTAGAACCTTTTTCTCTTTTACTTTGAAACCAGAAACCACACAGTGAAGGAATCCTCTCTTCTTTGATTTTCTCTCCTCTTTTCTCCCAAAGCTTCAGAGGAAGTGTTTCACTCCTCTCTTCAGCAGTATTTTCACCTCCAGTGAGTCGCGACCATGAGCAAAGTCCAGCTGGCTCTGCTGGTCTACATCAAACCAGACGCACCTGAAGTCCTGACCTGAAAGTCTTGTGCAAGTTTTTTATTAAACTAGAGTTTTGTTCCCATGAGAAATGTTGGACAGACCACGAGTTCTGATCTCACAATCTGTCACAGAGATCTGGTGGGAACACGTTCCTTGGCGTTGTGTTCAGGATCATGCAGGAACACGACAGCTTCTTTATCGTGTGTGCAAGACTACATGGGAACGAGATATTAGTTCCCACACATTGTCTTCTACAAGTGTTATTAACCTGCACACAGAAGGTATTAGTGAGTAATTATCTTGTGAACGTCTCTCAGGACTTCAGGCGCTCTGTCTTTGATCTACGGTGGCTGACGATGTCAAACGAGCTGCAACGGCCCAAAACTCTTCCATCAGGAGAAACGAACTGCAGATTCAAAAAACACAAACGAAAATACAAAAACAAACACAACAATGGAAACGAGCTGCAGATGAAACAACGAGCTGCAGGAAGATGAAACAAAAACATGAACAACAAACACGTTGCAAATACACAAACAACAACAAGAACACACAAACCTCCAAAACAAATGCAACAGAGAAAACGGGAGACAACACATGCAGAAGAGCTCCAGGCCTGTAGGAGGAGCTTCAGGCCTGTAGGAGGAGCTCCAGGCCTGTAGGAGGAGCTCCAGGCCTGTAGGAGGAGCTCCAGGCCTGTAGGAGGAGCTTCAGGCCTGTAGGAGGAGCTCCAGGCCTGTAGGAGGAGCTCTCAGTGGAACACCCACAGACTGTCTATAAGCTAACGCTAACGCTTGCTACATTATCTGTTGCTCTTTTATAATAGTGTAACAACTACGGACAAATGTAACAACTCTTGTTTCCACCTTCATACTCTCTCGTTGGGTCAAAGGTCAAAGGTCCACTCCTAATTCTCGAAGTTCAAGCTAATGCTCAAGGTGTTAGAGCTCCCCCTACAGGCCTGGAGCTCTTCTGTTGTGTTGTTTGGATATGCAGCGTTTTTATTTGACAGTCGGAGCCGGAGCCGTAGTGTTTTCAGGTTGTGCGTCCGTACGTCCCATTCTCTAGATCAAAGGTCAAAGGTCATGGTCGTGGCGACCTCACAATGGCCTTGTAACGCCTTGAGGGAATTTCTTTAGATTTGGTAAAAACCTGGACTCAAGGAGGAGCTGATTAGAATCTGGTGGCCAAAGTTCAAAGGTCAAGGCCACAGGGATCTCACAGAACATGATTTTGGATTTGTGAACACGATATCTCGAGAACACAAAGTGTTTTGGCGCTGGGATACAACTGCGAGGCGGTAGTTCTAGTTCCTGTTGCATAATGTTTGGAGGTTTGTGTGTTGTTGTTGTTGTTTGTGAATTTGCGGCGTGTTTGTTTCTGTTTTGACGTCCTGCAGCTCGTTGTTTCATCTGCGGCTCGTTTCCGTTCTTGTTCGTTTGTGTTTCTGAACTTGCAGCTCGTTTCTCCTGATGGAAGCGTTCTGGGCCGTTGCAGCTCGTTGGACCTCGTCAGCCACCGTATGAATCAGCTGTGACGCTTCTCACTGCGGTCAAACACCATTTCATGTACGGACGTTACAACACCACACAGCTTCTTTTTTATCGTCTGTCCTTCTCCCACAAGTTGCTGCTTATCACTGGTGTTTTTTTGTTTTTTTTACCAATCACACATTAACATTTTCCTCCAGGCTAAAATCCAACACTATGCAACTTTGTACATTTTGCGTAGCGAGAATTTTTATCTGATACACTGGTGCTAATAATTATTTCAAATGTTATATTTTTGTGTGAATGTTTTTTATTATGACATAGAGTGAGGATTTGTTATTTGTGTAAATATATGCTTCAATGATTCAGGACTGGCTGATTCTAAGAAATAAAACTCCAACATGCAAAACAGCCACTTCAAGTTCTATCACAATCAATCAACTGAAACCTCCAGGTTAAATATATATAGATCTCTATGATAACGTCTGTGGTATGTTATTATTATCATATGCTTGCTTGTATACAAGGCTCAGTGTTGCTGCCTCATAGCGATGCCAATATTTCATTTGTGTTTTATTGATTCTCTGGGTTTTCAATCGTTAACTCGACCTAACTGAATATTTTTGTTTATAGTTTTTTTTTTTTTTTTTGGCCCTTTCACCAATCAGGATGTGTTTCAGAGCGGTGGGCGTGGCCCGCCACCTCGTTTTTACTGAATTTATTGGCTCGACTCCATAATGAGATGATGAGCTCGGTCACGTTGCTACGGTAGTTAACTGTTTTTAATTAGTGTTTTGTGCCTTAATATAAAGTTTGGTTGTAATCACAGCCCCAGTGACGGGCTCCACTTGTTATCTCACAGAAATGTCCTCGTCGTTCTCGCTCATTCACGCCGTCTCCTCCTGTCGGTACTGAAGCAGGGTTCTTTAAACATCAGGTCCAAACAGAGCCAAAAAAAGATCCTGATCCAGGAAGTAAGAGTCGAACACTTTGTTAGTTTAACATCTGAACCTGAACAGAAGAAGAGTTTCTGTGACAGAGGATCTAAATGATCTGGACTCTTACAACTTGTCATCCATTTTGTTCTTTCTCTCCCTCCATCCTTTCTCCCGCTCTGCAGGACGTGCAGCACACGCAGACATGATGTATAAACAGTATTTTAAGTTATAATGTACCAGTTATTTGTGTTGTAACCCTGTTGTCTTAGATGGTGACGTGTGTGTGCTGCGCAGCCTGCAGGACGCCTCTGTGACGTCATGTTTTCCCGCCCTGCGAGGACCTGAATGACCCTGTTTGTCCCCATGTGCCTGTAAATCCAAACTTAACATTTGAATAATAAAAAGATTACTACAGGAAGAGTGTGTAAGTGTGTGTGTATCACATGGAGGCTGTTGGTGTTAGCTAACACGTCTGACGCTAAACTACAGTATGAACTGCTGGTGTACCAGATCATGAACCTATAGGGAAAATGTAAAAGGTTTGAAATGATCTAGAAATGTGTGATAGGTTTGTTTCTTAGCGCCCTAAAAAATGTATTTAATTTACTGAATTTCCATGTAACAGTTTTAGTAAGTAAAGCAAAATACACTTAAATCAAATACGTTATCTTATTTTAATTTGGTGAAAGAGAAGAAGAACTCCTCTATTAGGTCGCTGATGTTTTGCTCTTTACCAACATGAATGTAATGAACCAGCTGTGGCGCCGTCGTCACTGTTCACACACTTTCTCACTGACTTCAACATCAACATGAATTTCATTAATCCCTCTGCCTCGTTACAGCAGCAGCTGGATGTGATGGTTCATTTCCCCTCATTTCATAATGCATGTGTTAGAACAGACATGTAAATATAAAACACGAGACAAGTAAAAGTATAGAAAACTTAAATTACAAAAAGCTAAATAAAAATAATGAAACAAAATTAATCATTTCTTTCTGTTATATGCTGCACTGTGTAGGTTTATATCTATTAAACTGTGCAGAAATATTTTTATGGTTTTATTTTTATATTATTTTACTACATTTATGTACAATATTTACTTTGTTCACATTCTAATGTTTATTTTATGTAAATATATTTGCATGTTCTTCATTCACCAGTTGACCAGGTGCCTTGTGGTTCCCAGCTGAGAGCAGCAGGTGGCGTCAGAGTCCTGTTTGTGTTTGTGCTGCTCTTTGGCTGCAGGAGCAAAGTGAGGGACTGAACAGACACTTGTACATTATATCTTCAGACATGTTTGTTTCAGCGCAGACGGAGGAACCTGATCACTAACTACAGTCCAACCAGAAATCACAGAGTGCAGCACAGATCAACAAACACTGAGACGATGAGTCAAACTCTGTGTTTGACTTTGTCTAAACGGAGAAAATGAGCAGGGGGAGGAAAAGATCTGCACTGTACAGATATGGATCTCTTCAAACAACCCTCTTATTTATTCATTTACTTATTTATTTTACTGTCATTCATGACAAGAAAGAGGTTGAACAGAATATTTTTAATCACATGATAAAGTAAAACTTACAGAAGCTCTTTATAGATGAAGTGATTAGTCACTAGATCAATAAGTTTAACTGAAAGGTAATAAATAAAGGAAATAATAAAAGTCAGAATTATGAAAAAAGAAATTAAAATTATAATAATCAAAAGTTTTGACAGAAATATGACGTCATGAGTCAAAACTATGAGATAATAAAGATAATGACATGATGAGGATGATGATGATGATGATGATGATGATGTTATGAGATTACAAAGTTGTGACCATCTGTGTAAACATGAATTTGACATAAGTCAAATTCATGAGACAGGAAGTCAAAACAAAGACTTCATAAATACAACATATGATCTGAAAGTTAAAAGTAAGAGATGAAATGTCAGAATTATGACTTTCTTTAAGATAATAAGTTAAACTTTTGGCACTGTTTGATAGAGTTGTGTATTGACTTGGAGCAACAATAAAAATACATTTATACTATTATTATACTATTATATTATTGTATGTTTTAATTTTGTAGATGTACAAAATGTTTTATTTTAATCGTTTTAATTTTTTTGTATTTTAAAAAAAACATTTTGTGATATAGTAGTAATTTTTCTTTTTATTATACTTTTTTATAGCCTAACTTAAATTTTATTTTTCATAATTCCACAATACAAAAACTCAAGTCTCCAACCAGCATTAAACACAGGAGAAAAGAAAAAGAAGCAACAAATATATCAACTCCACACACAAAAACATTTATTTTACTTTTTATTTAAATGAAGCAATTAATTGTTTAGTATATGAAATGAAAAAAAAACTTGATTTACCACTTTATATATATATATACACTGTAAAATAAAAATCGTAAAAAAAAAAAAACGGTCAAATGACTGGCAGCAACAGCTACCAAAAGCAAAACATCCTAATTCAAATAAAGTGTAAATAAATAAATAAATTTACAGAGAAAAACTGTTATTTTACAGATTTCTCCTAATTTATTTTGATCAAACTCCTTTAATAAAGTGACGCCACTAAAGTTTCTGCAGAGAAACTTTTTCCTAATAATAAAATTAAGTGTCAATCAATGAAATATTAACACAAGCTTAATATTGTAAAGTAAACCTTTTGTTTTGGAAGACAAAGTAAAAAATACTGTGTAAAACAGATTAAAATCATCTCAAACTTCAACTTGCAGTATTTGTGTCAACATTGAATGAAGTGTAAAGTAATGTTAAAACCTGTAGAAGCACAATCTAAATACAATATTTACTGATTCAGATTCAGATCAATTTTCTTACATTTCTCATAAAATATAATAAACTGAAGAAATGCTAATGAAACTGTTAAGTCTCTGTATGTAGTCTTTCAACTAGTGGGGTTGGAAACTTAATTACAAATAACAAACACACCACTATTGACTTTATAACATTTTTATTTAATATATTCAGATGTAAATTTACAATATCAACCAATTATTCACAAATAGTTCTTCAGAGCCCCGGGATGATCTGAAGAACTAAAACTGGCATTTCTCCATTGGTCTATCTTGCCTGTTAAGGTTCCTATAATGAGGAGGTGATGATGTCACCTCTGAAAGAGGGGGGGCTGTGGAGCTGAGGGGGGGTGGTCTGTTGTTTTTTAGCTTGTATCTTCCAATTCAGTTTTATCTTGTTTTCCACAGTATTCTCCATATAGTTCTGACAACATATGTGGACAAACATTATACTATCTTTTATGTCAGAATCCCAACTATACAGTGTATTAATAAGTCAAATCTAAACATACCACAAAGGTCAATGAATCTTTACCAGAAGTGACGGTGCAACGGAGCAGATGAAGAAAAATCCACCTTCAAACTGCCAGTAATCAGCTGGATCCTTGGAGCATCTGGGGAGAAAAGAAATAACAGCCTAAAGATGTTGTTTAATACTTTTATCATATATTATTATTATCATCCCCATATAAGATGTTTTACCCTCCTCTTCCCCTTTTAAAAATGAAGCAGAGTAACAGTTTACTCAGAGTACGTCACCTTTCATTAACAGCAGTGAGTGACCGTTTACGTGCTGACGTCACTGTAGTGTCTCATCGCCAGTCTCTGGAGTTTCTGTTTCCGGTAGAGTTTATTGCTGCTCTATCTGAACACAGTTAATGTTGTTGTTTTCTTCATTACAGTGACTAACTACCTGCTGTACATTTAAACTGACCAGTTCTGCTCCAGCACCCACAGCTCTCTGCTGCTTATAGCGAACTTCACTGATTCAGCATTTGTTTACATGCTGTTTAGAACTGATTGTTACTTTAGCTTAGCAGCTAGCTCTGGCTTCTCTCTCTCTCTTGCTCAGTGTGTGTCTCGGACCAACAAATTAACTTGTTCATAAGAGTGTTGTGTTTTTGTATCTTCAGAATATTGGATTGTGATGTTTATTACAACTTCAGCGATGTCTGCTGTCATGCTGTGGACACACAGCTCCGCTCGCTAACCGGAGCTACAAACAAAATAGCATGTTAGCTATTACTCACTAATCCCTGAGTTGTCATCTGGAACATGGTGAACAATGAGGAACTGGGTGATGCCCGGCGATGGGAACCATGAGTGGTAGGCTGGAGACAACAGTCCAGACCAAGCGATAGCTGCGCGGGAGACTTCTGCTCCTCAATGTGTTTCCTGGTCCTCTCTGTCTAAGTGTACAAGTGTGTACAAGACAGTTTTCACTTTACTCATTCTCTTCACTCATTTACCTCTCATCAGTTCGTTTAAGCTTTAAACCAGCTGACAACATTAACACATACTAGCAACACACAGTAAAATTAGCTTCTTCTACATTGAATTAAATGCTGTTATGGCTAGCGCGCTAATCACAGTTAGCTTTTCACTTTAACACGTTAATGACGCAGAATAAACATACATACTTGATGACATTTGTTTATCCGTCTATAGCATTATTTAATAAACTACACGAACACAAACAACGTCACATAAACAATAGAGTAAATGTTTTCTTACCTGATATTTTTGCAGGATATAAATTCACTTAACTTCTCTTAGGTGACCAAACAGATTCCGTCCGACCTTTCCTAATATTCCAGTTCTCCATTAAAACCCTACAACTCAAATTCACTCAAAATAAGAATTTATCAGATATAAAATGATCCAGGAAACAGGAGACCGAGTAGCAGTGCGGAGTACAGACACCCAGCAGCAGCACTCCCACTCAACACGTACTTTCAAATTTGATTCGTTATGTGTTTATGGTCTGAATCTACAGTTTGAAGTTTTCTTCAATACAACATGATGTTCATTTTTAAAAAAAGATTTTTAAGCCTGTTTCTTTGCTAGCCAAAATTAGCATCCCTGCTAATGTCACAGTTCAGGTGAAGATGCACCTTGCTAATCAAGCTAGCCAGCTAGTGCTAGCGTTAGCTGATAGCCTGTGTCAACCTGGGTTAGCCCGTGGAGGTGTTCAGTCAAAGCCCAATAAAAAGGTGAATTTAATGGACGTTAATCTAACGACGTTTGGTTTGTGTTTCTCCACATGTGACCCAGTTTAAGTGATCTGCGTTAGTGTAATGCGCAGCGTTAATGTTGGTTAATACATTGTCCATCAAGACTTCGTGATAGTTCAAGTTAAGATAACGTGACGTTTACAAAATGTGTAGACAAATATTTGTCATATAGAAGATTGTTCATTTAATACTCAAACCAGTCCTCAACTGAAGCAGACATTCANCTGTGTCAACCTGGGTTAGCCCGTGGAGGTGTTCAGTCAAAGCCCAATAAAAAGGTGAATTTAATCGACGTTAATCTAACGACGTTTGGTTTGTGTTTCTCCACATGTGACCCAGTTTAAGTGATCTGCGTTAGTGT